ATCCTAAACAACAATCCTCCCATCAGTGAAAATAAAGTGCGCAAATGTAACTTAAACAATGCTGAGAAAGACCTAAATGCTTTGAAGACACTACAGATTAAAAAAAACAAAAAAAAAAAAACATCTCTTTCCCCAAGTTTCCACATTTGTGTTTGTCCCCTCTGTGTTGCAAGCATCTGCTGTGTGTCAATCATCCCCAGTAAGAGAACTACAACCGGGCCTGACTTATTAGAATGATGATAATGTAACGATCTCTGTGTTTGGGGTGTAATATTGGAGCACTCACCCGTCCATGTGGATCTGCCAGTAGGCCTGCCGGGTGATGTTGATGTAGTTGAAGTCCCCGGTGTAGTATTTGGGGTCAGTTCCTCCCAGCAGCAGCTCACCACCGGGCTCAGTGTCTGGGTTTCTGGAGAGAGATGACATGAATTCAAACGTAGTCTCCGCAGACGGAAAAACATCAGGATCAAGTCATAAGAACATCCTGGTTATACTGGACTCTGTCAACAGAGAGTATTGAAAGAAATCACAGCCATCATGACAGCTAGATACTACCAGTGTCTTCTTGTGTTGTTGTTTTTTTTCCACTCTCAAGTTTTTCATTCAGGTATTTTAGAACAGATTCTGAGTTCACGTGCCTCCACTTCCAAAATATTCCCATAGTTGGAGCACAACTGAAGCAGCCAACAGTTGCCTTATTAAACATCTGGTGGACATGAAGCAACATTAGCATTAAACTGAAGTCGTGTTTCTGTTTAATCAACATCTGACACAATTATCTGACTCTTCAGCTGCTAAATACTTTCCACTTTCTTCACCAGGTAGTTGCAAATATCCAGGTAATGTGTTTACAGACATACAGGAGGGCTGCAGTCTGTGAATCTAAAACTATGAGCTAAAAGACATTAAAAATGCTCAACGGAGCTGCAGAGTCTGGTGATATTAATCTGTGGATGACCTCAGTATCAAAATTAAAACAAGTTATTTGTGCAGTTTTTGACCCGAAGTCTATAAATGTAGAACACTTATCAAGATTAATATCTACGCATGTCACAATTTGTTCACCACCCACACCTAGGTAACGAAATCCTGCATACAGAAATATAAATTAGTCAAACATAAACAAGATCACTAAATTCAGACGAGGACAAGAAATACTGTTCTCCACTTTCACTGGATGTTATGACCACATGTGTGAGAAGGATCCATCTGCACATCATTATTATCTGCTGCTGTTATCAGAGGCCCTGTTAACATCTTAACCTGCTGTACACACTGTGTTCAGAGGATTAAGTTTCTCAACATGATGGCAGCAACATCCAAGTGTCCCAACGCGACTCAACACCAGCTGTGGTCACATCTACCAGGCCGCTGAGCAGTTGCAAAGTGTTTCCTGTTTCTGACTCTTGCAGCAGTATGTGGGCAGTAACACAGCTTTTAAAGTGAACATTTGCTCCTTTTCCACTGCAGGAGGAAACTTAAAAATTGTAACATGAACTGTTGCTCTGTGTTCACCTGCTTTGGGACGAGTATCTAAACTAAGCTAAATTTTGGCACTGATCAGAACTGAAGGTGGTGCTAAATTGAAGTCCCAGGTGCTTTCAGGAGTTGATGGTAGCGCTGTTGATCAAGATTGGTCAAGCGGATGTGTTGTCAGATCACGACAAGGACTGGAAAAAACACACAAATATAAAAAACCATGACAAAAAATGTGCAGGAAAACAACGAGATGAAACTAGAATAGAGAAAAATAAAAAGATTAAAAAGCAAACAGTGGAGAAAATAGAAAAACTGAGAATTAGTTTGATGCTCTGGACGATTTTTTTGGCCCAACAACTGGCCTGTGTCGAACATGACGTTTTTTTTTTTCCATTTATTTTCCTTAAAATCACGTTAATCACCTGCTGCCATTTTGTTCGTTCAACACACCCTTACTTGAAGTCAAGCTGCAGCGGTGGCTTGACATAAATAAAATGCTACTACATGCTCTACAGTTATAAGTCAATAACACGCTACAACTGTACGGTGTCCCACCTGTTCAGGTAGAAGGAGAAGAAGTTCTTCTGCACCTTCTTCTGGTCCATGATGTTGTCAAAAACAGGAGTCACCCCGTCCACGGAGATGCGAGGGTATGCCATGCCAAGGATCCCGTCAAACTTGGCTGCGATAAAGGTCACGCCGGGCTGCTTGATGGCTTCACCGAAAAGCTGCTTCTCTACAGATATGTCTCCAATCTGGAGAGCAAGAAAAAAAAACCCACCAGAAGCTTGTCACGTAAAACTCCACTGAAGCTACAGCTGGATGTGATGCTAACGTGTGAGATTAGCTTACTGTGCATGTGTCCTGACTGAGGTAGCCCGACAAACTGCCACTCCCATACTGGATGGCGAAGTCAGTGCCATTCTTCACGTACGAGCTGGACTTGGCGGAGTTATATTTGTGGTGAAGCCCTGCGAAGAAAAAGGAGAAAAAGCTTCAACATGTCACCTTTTTACTTTATACTACGGAGACGTGACTTTACAGCCGACACATGCAGGACTGTATCTGGGATGACTTACAGCAGGCGATGTCGAATATGGAGCAGTGAACGGAGGGCACCCACAGGTTGGAGGAGCCCGTGTCAAACACCACAGTGAAGGTCTGAGGAGGGGTCCCCAGGCCGATCTCACCGTAATACTGGGCCTGGACAAAAAAAAAACCCAACAATATTAGGATTCTCAATAACAGCCATCAGGATCTTGAGAGCTTGTGGAGATTTACTTTCCACGACAGTAAATAAATCTATGTGAGAGAACACACAGTCCTCCAGCTGATCTTATGCATTTAGGAAAGAGATTACAGTAATCCCTCACCACAGAAAACTGGTCAACAACAAATCAAACCAACAACAAGGTCTGACAAAGCAGGTTAACACAGTCGCGGATCTATTCTGGTTGCTGATGAGGCCTTACAGCTGTTGGTGTCAGCGAATGTTAGTAGGACGCAGGTCAAATAGTTACTGAGTCATGATGTCAATAAATCGCTCGTTATTGTTTCACAATTACAGCGTGACACAACAAATGATTACTCCACAAATTTATAAGCTGACGCAAACTTCCGCTTCATGTGGCTGAAACTCACAAAATCTTAAGAATGTGAGAGTTATGTCAAAGTCATCCAGACCTCAGTGTTCTTCCTCTTTTACTGAGCAAGATTTGATTTTGTGAGGCCAATGAAAGATGACAAACATTTAGCGCCTTACAGCTGATGAAGTATTTTAAGGAGTGTTAGCAAAGAAGTGCAAAAAGAAGAAAAGGTTTATTCTAATAGTTATAAGAGCTCTGTGAGTTGATTTACTCAAAGGAAACAGATTATTTAATCAAATTATGAGGTGGCTTTTAAGATGTACGGAGGAAAAGTAAGTTCATGTGCATGACGTCATTGTTTGACTGTGGACATCTTTATATGCCAACTGGATAGACATTGTCCAACCCTACTCTGGATACAGAACAGGACAGGCCACAGACATGTCCATGAAGCTAATAAAAATATGCTGCTAATCTACATTTGATGGAGCCTGACACATGCACATAGCATATGAAGTCATCCTGCTGCAGTTACTGCATGTTTAATACAATCCAATGATGACGATTAATGTTTTTTAATAAGTAAAACACAGCCAGAACTCTTTAACCACGTCGTTCATAACTGGACCTTATTCACTTTGTCTGAAGGCTGCAGCACAACAAAGTAGGACAAACAACAATAAACATTTAAAAAACAATCATTAAAAACATTAACTGCATGGCATTTTTAATTCTGAAAGTTCACAAAATTAAACAGGCAAAATGCTCCACTTGTAAAACAACTCCTGCCATGATATGATGCTGTGTGGCAGACAGAACAAAACCAGGTTACAGTCGGACTGCTTACACCTGGCGGGGATAATAATAAAGCTTGAAGTAATAAAAAGGAGACAGATAAATAATTGAGTAAAATTAATTTGAGTGTAACTTAGGTCTGAGCCCAACTCCACCTACTGTGTAACTTTGGAAAATGAAAAGTGGACACGGGGCTGAGAGGGTGTGAGTGTGGGCTGGGTGGATGTGTGAGGCAGAAGTTGATTAGGAGGTGTTAACTTTTTTTTCTCTTCATTACACAGATAAGTCCTCACCAGACGACTCAGTGTCAGGGTCACGCAGGGTTCAACCCATGACATGCAGGTGTTTATAGACATGGTAAGAAATGTCAATAGTAACACCTGCATTGATGTAATTCATCACAGTACGGCCATATCATTTAGTGCACAGCTAAAAAGGGTTTAAGGGTGCATGACCTCCTTGAGTTCAACAACATGCCTTAAAAACAGCTGACTTTTTATTTTGCATGTCTCATCAGTTACATCAGTGATATTTAAGTAAATTCTTTATTTGCATGATTGATTTTCAGATGAAAATGTTGCAGGTCACAGTATACAAGTATTTGCCATGAAGACTGCTTATTGTGAGCTCTGCGGTTTAAAATTATTTCTGGAAAAACATGCAGCGTTTTTGCAAAAACAGATTGTTTTAATAAGGATTTCTTAAATTTGTTTTACTTTTTAAAGAACTGTGACCAAGATATATGGAGTCGCACATTTTTGTTACATAAAAATAAGTATAGCATGTTTTACATTTAACACAAGTTATAGTAATTTTCTTGTTTCTTGTCTTTTTCGTTTTGAAGAGTGGTGTATTTTATGTCTGCGTCTGCCACCAGAGCCATCACAATAAGAGTAGGCATAATTATATGTCAGTTCCACAACAGAGGAGACTTGATGTCCTCTGAAATTGGGTGGAGAAACATATGTGCATGTATCAGCATCAGCAATTGGCAAAAATGAATCTAAAAATATCAGCAAAAATCCCTAGAAAAAATGAAGCGGTCAGTGTTCTTGTGTGGACAAAGTATGTAATGGAGACACTACTCCTGAATTACCTAACACGTTGCAGGCCTTTCTATTGTGAAGTTTATTGACAAGCAGATATACTGATACCGATATCCGTGATACGCCCTTACTGACCAGTACGAGTCTAAATCTACTTCCTAGGGTAATGACTCCTTTAATGTAGAACAACCTGCAGCAGCAGCACAGCCACAAAGATCATCAGACGATCTGAAAGCCTGAGCCAGTCAGAGTGAAATGCTTATATACTCTTCTCCTCTCAAACCACTGTGACGGGCTGATGTCATTATCAAAGATAAAAAGGTCATTTCCTGACATGTTGTAAAACCGAGAGCAAACAAACAAACTTTCCGTCAGCTGATGAGGATCAAGAGGCTTACGGATCAACACTGAGTCAGCCGTCACGTGGTTAACGCCGTTACTCTCACAGTTTCATCACTTAAAAAGCTGATTTTATTCTGCAGCACAACGAGTCACAGCCTCTCTACAAAAGCTGTCTGCAGAAGATTTTCTGGTCTTGACAGGCAAAGTCTAATTTTCCATTCAGCGGGGAGGATTTAGAGAAAAAGGCCGAGGCGGTCGCAACAACACAAGAGGACCTTTGTTGCAGCTCTCACCCAGCTTGGCTTTTACGGCTTCTGAGCGGTGCATTAGGGGAAAGGGAAGACTAAAGGGTCCACAGGTCAGTGGTTCGGAGAGTGAGGCTTACGTCAAGGTAGTTCTTCAGGGTTTCTGGAGTGGGTCCACCGCTGGAGGGGAAGCCAAAGTTGTACTTAAGGGAGTGTGTGTCGGCCAGAAGCTCCTCAATGCTTCTTCCCGAATCTGTCAGCTCACGTCTGATGGAACGGAATTTCTTTAAGGGAATTCTGAAACACAGAAATATAAGAAAAGATGATTTAGGACTGTAGATTTAGAGCCTGGTTTAAGGTCTCTGAATAATATAATGAAGCACAAACACAACTGGTGGCTGTGCAGATAAGATTTAACCCACATACTTATCAACCTTATCTGCACCGTGTTATCCTTCGGTGTTGCAAAATACACTTACAAGCTATACATAACACAGAAATGCCTGTGACAAAAACATGCCCCAAAAAGTCTCTCTTTTGATACATCCATTAGCCACTTTATTAGGTACACTTGGGTGTCAACAGGCATCAGACACTTTAATGCTTTTTACAACCTTCAAGATGATTTTTATCCAAATTTAAAACAGGCACTGCAGGTCAGTATAAAGCTAAGTAGTATATATGTGGTCCACTGCAAATGTATGTAGGAATATGATTAGAGTTAGTTTGGTTTTTCTAGATTTTTCTAAAAAGTACAAAGTATAAAACAGAATAATAAAAGACTTAAGTTCAGTGGCAGGTTAAAAGATTTGTGAACTTTCACTCAGAAGAGCTCGACTCATTTGGACAAAAATAAATTAAAAGACTGATAAATAAATTTAGATAAAATGTTTATAGCATTTAAGACCTCACTGATTCAAATTTAAGATGATCTACAGACTTTTAAGGCCTAATCATTATTTTTTAAAATAAATTTAAGACGTTTGAAGGACCTGCAGACACCCTGAATACAAGGCCTGCGATAAATCCTACCGTTTGTGGTGTTATTGAACTGTATTTTTCGATACAGAGCTGTTTCTGTTTTTTATCTGACTCTCACTAAAGGGGTGGACAAAATAGGAGGAACATTTGTGAGTCTCCAAAATGACCGTAAGTTGAATCAACACTGTCTGAAACAGTAAGAACAGAAACTGAACATTATAACCTTCATGATGAAAGGATTCCCTGCAGGACTGCTGGATCACTCTGCATTAGTTTCAGCTCAGTGTACCTAATAAACTGACTGTAAATCTAACATGTAAAGAGTACATGAAGAGTCAGCTAACTGCATTAGGCTTCATCATCGTTTCCACCTGATAAATTAAACCCTAAACTAAGAGCAAACCTTAATGTGGTTCCATTTACACTGGAGTCATGTTACCGTTAACTTCAGTGTCTGTGAACGAACACCAAGACACTTTTACAGAAATCAAACATGTGACTGAAACAGCTCTCTAAACACTAAAAACGCCCTGCCGCCATATTGTTACCCTGTGGTTTGTATAAAAGCAGGATGTAGAAGAAAGTCACTCGCCCAAGTTACCACAGAGTGGAAGCTTCATATCTTGAGCACACCCCATGATAACGTGTGTGCATAAAGAGAGCTGCAACTCACGATTACAAGATATGCAAACTAAGAGTTACCAGAGCCTAAAATGACGCCTTAAAAGGGCGATTAAACTAAAACTAAAACAAGAATGTGAAAGATTAAAATAAAGCACTTTTAAAAAATAAAAGATACAAAGTGCTTCACAATAAAAGCATCCAACACAAAATATCAAAGAGGCAGAAAAACAGCTACAAATCAAATATAATCAAAAGAGAAAACGTTAATCTGTTACAAAGCTCACAGGCAAAAGCAGCAAATGTACGGTCCGCCTTAACTTTAGACTGGATTACAAGCAGACTTTAATGTCACTACATGAACATAATTCAGAAATCAGCTCAAACGTTGGTGCGTTATCCTCGTTATGTTCACTGATGAAGACAGAGGAGGGTTGCACTCAGTGACAAGATGTCAGTTTATTTACAGAAGACATCTGGGTTTATCAGTGTCATAATCATGCAGCAATGATGCCTCTCAGAGTCTTTCCAAAACTGGACCCTACCCACTCCCACTCTGTTGACAAGTGTAACTCAGTGTGTTGTCACCTTCACAGCTGAATGAAGCACATTAAGGTGTGGAGGAAAAACACAGTGGAAAGCTGTGGGACAAACTTGCAAACTGTCTTAACTTTTCGTAACCCTGGAGAAAAATAAAGCTTAATCCAAGTTAATGTTCTTCATATGTATTTCTAGCACTTATATTCAATCTGTTTGTGCTGCTGATGTTTATGTTAATTTTTATATTGTGTTTTGATCATTAAAAGAAATAAATAACTTGATGACTTGATATATGATGAATAAATAAAACTTACTCTTAACCTTCTTTAGTAGCCTCTTTTTTGTGTCTTTTCAATATCTCAATATTTCTCCATATTTGGTCCGAACAGGGGCTTGAACCAGCGACCGTCTGGTTTCCAACCCAGGTCCCTATAGACTGAGGCACTGCTGCCTTGCTGAGCTACTGCCACCCTTAACCCCTCCACTTTCATTCCTTCAAGGGACATTTTGACTAATAATATAACTTGTTTAATGACGGTGACATTTTTGGACATACAGTGAAAATCTCATACAGGGTGTCTACAGATATGACAAAGTTAATCTAAGACTTTTAAAGACCTTTTTAATTCCAACTTATAAAAGAATTTTCAGACCAAACATGCAATGGAAATACACAACATATATAAATGTGTGTGCGTGACACGTGTACGTACTCCTGCCAACTAAACACACTGAAAATGACAACAGCAGCGTGAGTTTAATGTGTTTCATGTAAAAAGAAAACAAATCTAAATCGCTGTCATAAATGCAGTTGCAATTGCACTTATTCGGTCTGTTCCATGACTGTCAACAGTCACTGGGTCTGTCAGGCTGCAGACGTTTTTACAGTTATGTGACCGAATATATTTAAGACCCATAAAATCTGACTTTAAGACAATTTCAGACTTTAAGACCTCATATTAAGAGATCTTAATTCAAGCCTTTATCAGGCCCTGCAGACACCCTGTCATAGTGTCGCAGCCCTGAGCACAGGTGTATTCAATGACATCAGTTATGGCTGCATTCCACTTAGCTCACGCCCCTGGTATTGCGCATGCTGGCTCACTGGCACAAGTTACTGGGACACTAAATGGAACTGAGCCATCGTTCATGACATCAGTCTCACCTGAGCTGCTCCTACTCTGACAAATCTGACAAATCTGACAAATGTCTGCTGTTAATAAGGGTTCATTGTTCTGCAGCAGCCGCAGTGCAGGAAGGAACTCTGCAATACATCTCCCTCCTGTGTCTGCAACAAGCCTCCTGATACATTAATCATATCATACTTATCTCAGCACCCTTCACTCTGATTAATGCACTGGTGTCTTCCTCTGTGTGTCTAACTGTGGTCCTCGTTTCAGCTGCATGTCTCTTCTGTGTGAGCACACTGATTTAACATGTTTAAAGAGAGGCAGAAATTAAGCAGCTTAAACCCAACAGTCACACTCATATTGGGACCAGTACAGCCCAGTATGATTTTCTGGAAACATCTCCATTATGAGCCCACACAGAGGTGCTGAGACCACAGCCTCAACTCAACAGGTTTATAAGTCACAAGATCATCAGTCATCGACGATACAGACGGTTTTACACACACACACACACACACACAATGGCTAACGTTCATTAGCCTCATGCTAGCTCCATGAACACACATAGAGCTGAAGTAGCTGTGAGCTAACATCCTGAAAATTACATATATTATTTATTTGAAATGTGCAGCAGAAACATTTTGTCCCCGTCGGACACTGTTAGGTAAGAGAGCTGACATTGTGTAAGTTGCATGCTAACCAGCTCTGACGTCGGTTCACTTAAACCGCGTTAAAAACACTTTATTATTTTATTTTAATAATTAATATTCTTACCGAACCAGTCCGTCGGCGCTGAGAGCTACCGCCGCCAACACGAAGAGGAGCAACAGCTTCATTGTAACAGTCGACGGAGTCTAAGAATCACGGACACAACAATGACTGAGCAGCTTCTGACTTGTTGTCGACTTTTATCAGCTGACGGGAGGAGTGGAGGCTCCGTCACGTGAGGCTGGAGCCGCTCCTGTTACGTCACTTCCGGGGATAATGTTATTTACTCATTTATTTATTTATTTTTTATTTTGAACTTGAGGATTTTAAGGTTTATTTGCACAAAGCAAAACGACAGAAACACAACAACAGAAGAAGAACAATATGTGCGAGTGAAATTAAGAAACCCCTCCCTTAGTAAATAAAATAAGCAAATACTAAAGTCATGTAATCAAGAAAAGTGAACAAACTAATCAACAAAGGGTCAATAAGCAAACATACAATAAGCCTTAGGGATATTATATTCGTTATTATGATAATTCCAGGTCATAGCACTCTTGAATGTGTAATTAATTTTGTTTATTTAAATGCTAAATGTTTTATTCACAAACAGAAATTCTCTAAATCGCTTCCTAAATTTTTATCTTTTCTCTTAGAATTGAAGGTTCTTCTCAAATCACTCAGTTTATTTAAAAGGAATAAACTGAATCCTCTGACTGAATTTACTTTTTCCCTCTGTATGCTTAATCTATTTGTTTTTTATGTAATGGTCTTTAAATACTGTCATTCATACTCTTCATGTACTCTTCATATATATTCATATACACTCCCATATGCAGCTGTTATTGTGTATTGTACACGGTCATTTTATATATAAATTTCTTAAGGATTTTTTGCAGATATGCCGATATGTATCAACTCATTTGACTGATACTGATATCGATATATCCACTTTTTTCCCACCTAATTTTAGTGATCATCGAGTCTCTTCTGTATTAAATTATTATATAATTATTGAATTAACATCATGTTATACATGTATACTCTTATCATGACGGCCCACCAGCAGATGGAGACATGAAATACAATACTGCTCAGTATATGTGATATTCATTCATTGTGTAAAATAAGAAAAAGCAAGTTGGCCGATTCTGATAGTTCATTTCAAAGGTGATACCAGCCGATACTGATGATGTGCTGATATTACTGTGCATCCCTAATACATATATGTGTGTGTATGTATTAATCAAAAAACCCAATAGAGACTTATAGAGTACAAACAACATTTACAAAAGAACTAGAGGTATGTCACACTGGGCAAAAAAACATTAAAACACACAGATATTAAAGGGTAACTTCTGTATTTTTCAACCTCGGCTCTATTTTGGAGCGTGGACTGGTGGCTGGAGAGGTGCCAGTTCACCTCCTGGGCACTGCCGTGGTGCCCTTGAGCAAGGCACCGAACCCTCCAACCGCTTGGGGCGCCTGTCCATGGGCAGCCCCCTCACTCTGACATCTCTCCATTGAATGCATGTATAGGTCCTGTTTGTGCATGTGTGTATTTCAGGCCTGTTTGTCTATGTATATGACAACAGAGTGAAAAGATTGAATTTCCCCCTTGGGGATAAATAAAGTATTTAAAATCAAAAAATAAATGAAAAAACCTTTTTTGTGTGTGTTTGTGACAAGTTTTGAAACTGGTCCAGTATTTGGAGAGAGCGCTGCCAAACAAGCTGCAGTGTATTCCCTGCAGGTACTGAGCACTGTTCATTTACGTGTTTATTTAATGGAGTCTGGTGAGTTTGAAGATCTGTTTCTGCTTAAATAAAAAGGATCTCACTCTCTAACAAAAAGGTTTGTCTCTGTAGGGATCCACTGATTGATTAATGGACTAATGGTTTCAGCTGGACTTGTATCCACTGTTTGGCCATTCAATTTATAATATTTTATCATTTTTAATAATAATTTTGTGTGTAAAAATATTATTGAAACCTGTCATATAATGTAAAAATTATAATATTTCCCTCTGAGATGCACCGAAGTATCAAGTGGTATGAAAAGTACAGTACTGGAGTAAATGTACTTAATTACATTCCTCCACTGGTGCTTTCACCAACATTTATTCTAAATCCAATTTCTAATTTTTAAGCCTAAACCTTGACATTTCCAACAGGTGACATATTCAGTTGAGAATAATTAAAACCATCATGATTAAAGGTTACTGGTGTTGTAGCAGGATCGTTACTGGAGCCGCACGTGTTCACTTGTCTTGATTAGGTGACCTTTGTATCTGCTGATGATGCTGCAGGTGAGATTCCCTCTATAAGCCTGCAGGTGTTTTTTAAATCTCACCTGAACAACCTGTTTCTTCTTTTGTAGGTGTGTTTGTGCTGTTTTGTTTTATTGTGCAAATAAATCAAATAAAATGTGCTTTGGGATTTTTGCTGCCCTGTAACGATGAGGACTGAACATCTGGTGGAGTCCTCGTCCCACAAACCAGAGACCAACATCCAGGATCAAAACCTTTCTCTAGTAAAACCTCGTGGGGGAAACTGTGAGCTGTTTCAGCATCGCAGTTACAGACAGGCTCTTTTTCTCCTTTCTGACATATTTACATTATTTACTGACAGTTGATATCTGCAGATATAGAGATGTTTAACAACATGTCTGAAGTCTGACAGCACGACTGCTTCAAGAAACTGCAGCTGTGGATTTTATTAAAAGGGAATGAAAAGAATGCAAATACAACAAATATGATTCAAAACCCCAAACTGAACATTTGTCCTTAAATAAATAATGTGTCACTCTCTCTGTCTCCTGCTCTGCTTCATGACATCTGCAGTGAGTGAATCTTGGAAATGATGGCATTGCAGCAGCTGCAGAGTGGCTGAGCTGAAGATGATCAACTGTAATTTGTTGTCCATATCAGTGACAGATATGTTTACTTGTAGACTGAAATGGAAAATTAGCTTTGGATTTATAAACAGTTCAGAATTCACAGAAAAAGACTAGAGTCAATAAACACATCAGAGACACAGACTGCAGTCGATGTGAGCAAACAAACAGGAGCTGAGCATCACCTTCATCTGCCGAGTAAAACTCTTCTTCTGGAGGCAGGAAATGTTTACCGCTGTCTTCCTCTTTATCACTTCATCAACAGTGTGATGAGTTCTTAACAAGCTTGAGGATTCCTGTGAAGCTCCACAGACGGCAAGAGCAAAATATCTGCTAATTAAAAGACAATAAAAAATATTGAATGTGCATGTCTGTGCATTAATGCTTTCCATGCATTACAGACAAGTCAAACATCTCCAACCTCCTACTGGAGAAACCACAATAAAAGGCAATTTAAAGTTAATGTTCCTGCTTGAAATCTCGGTGCAAATCCATCGACCCCGACTCCATGAGGAAGCTTGAATGCAGCCTGTGTGTGGGGGAGGAGGAGCAGATTAGCCTAGCTTAGCATAAAGACTGGAGGCAAAGGGGAACAGGTAGCCTTGCTCCATCTATAAACCATAAACTGACATGTTTATATTACTGTTTGTGCATGGAATAAAATAACGGATGCAAACGGACTGGAGAGCTGAAAGCCCAGTTCAGTCCAAAGATTCACGACAAGACGACTTGAAACGGGCAGCTACTGTCAACGCACCGTTCTGCAACGTTGTTAAAAACTGCCGGCTCACAGGAAGTGACCACCATGAGACGGCGCATCATCTCTAGTCGACAACTCTCTGTGCTTCTGATCTGTAACGTTGACAGGAAGTGACCACCATGAGACGGTGTATCATCTCTAGTCAATAACTCTCTGAGCCCTCTGTTTCTGCCCTTACAGTGTGCTGGTGTTGGACGGTGGGTAGCTGCTGCTGCTGGCTGTATGTGCTTATGTCCCGCCCACACACACACCAATTCTCTGTGGAGCATTGGCACCCATGTTAACTGATTGGGCTGTTGACACTGGACATGGAGCAGTGCCCTGCCCAGCTTGTGATCTGCAGCAATATTTTATATTTTATATATATAGTCTATTTTTTCCGCGAACGATGAGCGAATCTGGCAGGAAAACACTGAAAATGTAAACGTTATAAAGGATATACAGTACAGGCCAAAAGTTTGGACACACCTTCTCATTCAATGCGTTTTCTTTATTTTCATGACTATTTACATTGTAGATTCTCACTGAAGGCATCAAAACTATGAATGAACACATGTGGAGTTATGTACTTAACAAAAAAAGGTGAAATAACTGAAAACATGTTTTATATTCTAGTTTCTTCAAAATAGCCACCCTTTGCTCTGATTACTGCTTTGCACACTCTTGGCATTCTCTCCATGAGCTTCAAGAGGTAGTCACCTGAAATGGTTTTCCAACAGTCTTGAAGGAGTTCCCAGAGGTGTTTAGCACTTGTTGGCCCCTTTGCCTTCACTCTGCGGTCCAGCTCACCCCAAACCATCTCGATTGGGTTCAGGTCCGGTGACTGTGGAGGCCAGGTCATCTGCCGCAGCACTCCATCACTCTCCTTCTTGGTCAAATAGCCCTTACACAGCCTGGAGGTGTGTTTGGGGTCATTGTCCTGTTGAAAAATAAATGATCGTCCAACTAAACGCAAACCGGATGGGATGGCATGTCGCTGCAGGATGCTGTGGTAGCCATGCTGGTTCAGTGTGCCTTCAATTTTGAATAAATCCCCAACAGTGTCACCAGCAAAACACCCCCACACCATCACACCTCCTCCTCCATGCTTCACAGTGGGAACCAGGCATGTGGAATCCATCCGTTCACCTTTTCTGCGTCTCACAAAGACACGGCGGTTGGAACCAAAGATCTCAAATTTGGACTCATCAGACCAAAGCACAGATTTCCACTGGTCTAATGTCCATTCCTTGTGTTTCTTGGCCCAAACAAATCTCTTCTGCTTGTTGCCTCTCCTTAGCAGTGGTTTCCTAGCAGCTATTTGACCATGAAGGCCTGATTGGCGCAGTCTCCTCTTAACAGTTGTTCTAGAGATGGGTCTGCTGCTAGAACTCTGTGTGGCATTCATCTGGTCTCTGATCTGAGCTGCTGTTAACTTGCGATTTCTGAGGCTGGTGACTCGGATGAACTTATCCTCAGAAGCAGAGGTGACTCTTGGTCTTCCTTTCCTGGGTCGGTCCTCATGTGTGCCAGTTTCGTTGTAGCGCTTGATGGTTTTTGCGACTCCACTTGGGGACACATTTAAAG